CGATAGCAAATAATAGATAGGAAGTGGAAGACAATATGTGAGTAGCTTCGCCGCTTGTCTATTACTAACTGGACATGAACCTTACATACCATATGAATATGTAATGTAGACTAACCATAACGGGACAGTTGGCTAGTACTATTGCTACTACACTTTTCTCATGTGGGATGGTAATAGCGTCTTACCTTAGGCTCTTGTTTCCCATCCTTTTTCTCTTAGTATCTACCCTTCGAGGGTGTGTTATGAATGATTATATTCAGATCCAGTGTACATAGGCTATGTCTTTTTGCCAGAATAATCTAACTTTGGGGCAAGTGTAACGGAGCTGAAGATGTTGACTTGTCTGTCATAATTCTGCTACAACAGGTCTGGGGTTGGATGGTGCTTTACTGGTATGCTATGTCATGATCTTGTGTATTATGGAGTTTGCTATGAGGGAAAGTTATATCGAGAGTTGCTGATGGCCGTCGAACAGTTGGGATAGGGTCAGCGATATATCCACCACGCATATGTCTACACGAATCTAGGTGCCTAGTCGTCACTTATACACTACACTATATAGTGATTCAATGACTTGGTATTGCCTCATGTTGCAAGTCTTGGTGGAACTACATCCATGCATGTGCATGCTTTTATTAACTATCTGAGGTGCAATAAATCCATCAGGCTACCACAACGCCCGTCCGTTAAGCAATCTTCCCCAACCCCAGATACATCCTGCATATCCTGCCATTTTACTCCATATCCGAACCCGCCCTAGACACGACCATCTTGGTAAACCGCCCCGTATGAAGGTAGCCAAACATAGTATGCTTGACTTCAGTCAATGTGCATACCGGTAGCGAATTCGCAGCTGAGCGAGGTTAGCAGCATTCATCATAGACTGACACGAGGGCACCTACGGGTCCGTCGCATACTGAACGTTGCAGTGTTCCCACTCAGGATCGCGTACAAGAATCCCCCGGAACCGCACAGCATCCTCGATGGAGCAGAAGCGGAAGACGACGTTACGGGCCTAGTAAAATTAGTATGCTAAGCACGAGAGGGATAAAGGAAGGAAACTCACATCTCCAGGCACATATGAGTCCAGGATCTTCTCAACCTTGCGACCACTGCCACAGGCCATGTTGTACAGCTGCGCCATGCTGGCATTCATGTCGACTCCGACAGCTCTCACGGCGCGAGTCGAGCCAACAGACAGATTGAAAGAAAGCTGGGAGCTGACCACGTCAACCTCCTTGCCCATCTCCACGAACACGGTGATCCTTCTTTCTCTGTCAAGGTCGATGCCATTCGGATACTTGTCGTAGAAGGCCTGGCATGCTTCATGTTCACAAAAGAGGATATGAGCAGTTCCGTTGCCATGGACGTGGACACTTTCGATATTGCCACCGTGCACAAGCGACAGAACCTTAGCAGGGGTGCACCAGGTAGCAGGCAAGCCTCGGAGGATGATACGGCGGACACGAGAAGCTAAAACAAGTCATGTAAGTCAGTTAATCCTCGGAAGATAGGATATAATATATGATACCTGGCTTGTCACGAGCAGCAGGGGTGCCCCAGCTCTTAAAAGTAGTAAGATTCTCACGGTCCTCTACCTCACTGGCGTCACCTGAAGCTATAGCTTCCGAACCACGAGGACCAGCACTGATAGTAGCAGCAGCATTGTAGTCCTGGGGCTTGGAGTCACCAAAAGCACTGGACACTCCAGCCTTGGGGGTCTCGGGCTTCGCTCCAGATTCTTCGGCATCAGGCTTGATACTCCACTCGTCGTCATAAGTATTCTGACCGGAAGGTGCTACAGACAACAATAACATCAGATATGTCGCGTCTCAGCTTCACAATGGCTGTGGTCGCATGATACTTACCAAAAACATCAGCATCATCACGAGACGCGATGGTATCGCGGCCCCAAGCATCAGCACGAGACTCGGGACGACTCATTGAAGTACTGGCCTTCTCACTGGACGCGTCGACAGCAACAGTAGGAGTGCCATAAGTCTTTGGCAGCTTCAAGGAGCGAGCAGCAGCCATGAAGCTGACCGTGTCGTCCACATCGGCGACAGGGAACGTCTTGGTATTTTCCTTGTCCTCCATGGTGTTGCTTAATGAAGAAGATAATGGAGAAGAAGGGAGAGAGCAAGTGGAAAGGAAAGTGTCGACGGGAGGTATCGACGAAGAAGACTGAGATGGAAAATGAGGAGCAGAGGATGGGCGAATTTTGTTTTCGTCGACAGTGAAGTGCGTGGCTTCGTTACCTGAACGACGAAGAGGGGGTTCCTGTTCAGGTCTAGCAGTCAGCCCAGCGAGAAGACTCTCACCGTGCTATGGTAAATTACAACAAGACGTATTGAATGGGCAAAAAGCCTGATACAAGACAAACAGCAGGAAAGAGAGAGACTGACCGAGAGGTGCGTCTTGGGAGCATGTCGGCTCTCTTCGAGACCGAAAGACGTCTTCTCCATGAATGTTCCGACGACACCGTAGATAATACTGGTGACCCTGCTGGCAAATTCCATTGTAGGAACCGTACCCTTGTCCATGATAACTGGGAAGATTGAGAAACGTTTGAGATGGGATACTAGGAGATATGTAGGTGTCTAACAAGAGGGAAGATGGTTGTAGGAGGAAGGATTCTAGGCAACAGATGAAAAGAAAGATGAACCAGCAACTGCAAAGGAAGCCTGACAAAGGAATAAGAGGGGCTAGCATATTACAATATAAATAGCATATTAGGGAATAACACTTGAGGCCTAATATGATTGGCAAGTCCCGCCAAAATAGCTTGTGACCGCGGTGATCTCGACGGTGAATGGCAGTTCGAGGGCGTTTTTGTAATACAGATCTACAAGCATCATTGTCCCATCCAATGTGGTTTCGAAATGTGATATATGTGGATTGCACTATGTCCATGGACGTCTATAGATGATATTTATGTACCCATAACTCGTGGCCTATACAGTAAAGTCAAAATTGCGATATGCATGCAGGAAAATCCACACATTGATCGAAATCCCTTATGAAGGTACTTCTATCTCCTCATATCCCTTCTGGCCCTCTTTGCGATGCTCGATGATGACTTGAAGTCCCGGGCGTCCGCAAAAGCCATCTTTGCCTGCAACCCGATCAACGAGTTGAAATGACCCATTCCCCTCTTCATGTTCATCAGGGATCCAGACCTTCTCCTGAGATATCTGGCCGGGGACTTCGGTTCGCCGAGGATTGAACCAAGGCATACCCACGAAATGGTTGAGAATATCATGGATCCAAGAGTACAGCTTCTCGAACCGCCGCGTAGTCCCTAACCAGGAAAGGGTGCGGGTGTCGTACGCAACCCGGACATATGGATTGATATAGATCCCCGTGTCCGTAATCTTCTCTGGGTCCGGCTGAGGCTTCTGAATATCGGCATGGATAAGACAGCACTCGGAAGCTTCCCAGAACGTATCGTGCGACGCCCGGAACCGAGCAGGTGATTTGTCCTCTCCAGACAGCTGAGGCTGTATATCCATGACCGACAAATCTGTATCACGCTGGAATAACCGTGCGTCGAATGCTACCATTCCTCCCCAGCAACTCCGCACCCGCACCGCATCTTTCTGAGCTAGTACGTCCTGGCGGCTCTCACCTTTTCCAGCGCTGGTGAACCACGGGAAGAAAGGCACGCCCACGCCAAAGCCCTGCAGATCACGCGTCGCATAAGTATCATAAAATTTGAATGGGTTGATGAAATCCACGGCGCACGCGGCCCGATATTGAGCAACGCCATCATCCGTGGCATTTGTGGAGAACAGAAGCTGGAGCGCATCCACCGGGTTAAATGCAACGTCGTTCAGGTAGAGCAGCTTGTCGTAGCGCACTCCCGGCTGGTCGTCCAGCGGTTTTAGAGCTCGGTTCCGCACCTCCGCCAGGTACTCGATACGTTTGATCCGCCTTGAACCGCCGGGAACGGCAACTGTCGGTAAGTCGGCCAGATCCAGATGCTGCTCGAAAACAATGGACTTCTGACACGTGGCCCGATCTGCCAGATCTTGAAGCGCACTCTCTCCATCGCGACCGCTGTCGTTCTCATATATGCTCAAGAAAACATTGTCTTCTCCGAGCAGATCGATCAGCTCAAGCACACTGTCCCCCCAATGTCCTCGTGCTAGATCACCATCAGGGTCATATAAGCTCGCTGCGATGAAAACTTTCTCATTGCGGATGTTGCCTCGGCCAGATTTCGTTGACTGAGACACCGCATTCCGAAGCGACAAGTAATGTGGCGGCGGCTGGGTATAGGAGGGCCGGAATATGGAGGTCAGGACGATGAGAAGGAATATAACGCCGATAACAGCAGAAACATAGTTGCAGATGCGGCGGAATAAAGAACGACGATAGCGACCGGAGTACCTCGACCCCGAAGGCTTCAAGTGACGATAACCGGCATAAGTTGATGAGAAGAGTCGCGACCACAGGGGCACTCTCCTGGAATCATCTGGATAATAGTAGCCAATAGACATGACAAACAGATCTTGACAGGCAAGTCGTAGCAATCACTTTGCTCAGCCCATGCCTAGGATACAATGGATCATAGAAAACCAGAGGCAGGCCAGCAACCAGACAAACAAACCATCCTCTTTTCCCCAAACTTTGCCTCGCCAGGCCACGGGGTTTTCCCCTTTGCCACCAAGGGGAGCGCACGCCTGCTTATGTCATCGGAGGAAAAGGAGTCTCCCCGCTCACGTGCTTTGCCGGCCATCGTGGAATTGGCCATTGTGGGAGGGACTCCCTGCAGGGAACCCCAGACCACATGGGGGGATGTGTCTAAAGAAGTCTCAAAACCATACCAGTGAGAAGTGAGTTTACTGATAACGGCCGGGAACCCCGGGGGATTTCTACCAGGCCTACCTTCTTTTAACAGTAAGTAGTACCAGACAATTGCCCCATAGTTACCTTCCGACCGGCCTTATCGTCGTGCTTCTAATCGCCCCGTAGTCTCCGATTACCCCACTCACCCAGAGTCATAGCTGTCATAGGCCAAACCCTGTACCGCAGACGGTGAGGATCTCCCTGCGACCGCATACCTATTCGAGTACCTGTGGCCCAGGTCAATCCGGATGTTGGCCTTAGCTCGGAGTGTCTACTACTAGTATGGCGTCGCTGGCAGCCCCAATCAATATGACGTAGGCCATTTTGGCTACAAGAGACCTCTGCTCTTCCTCACATCATCCATCTCTGGTTCTCCTTTCTCCTTCAAGAACTTCGTATTTGTTCCTTTGGAATAACTCCATCTCATCCCTATCCTTCCTTTCCAATTACCCTCCCTCAATTACCCTTCTCCAACTCGAAACTGTCTAACGGGTTGAGGATCTCACAGACATTGCCAAAGCGTCCTCTTCACGGAACCAGACGGCAATCATGACCAAGTTCACTTTCGCCAATTCCTCCGAGAAAGTACCCGGTGATGGGATCCTCCCCGCCCAGTTCTCCATCAGAGCGGCCCCTCAAACAGATGCCTGGTCCAAACCTCCATCCACAGACACATTCACTGCGCCAATTCTATACCGGAGTGTTCCGTTGAAGTCGTTCAAACGGGTCAGAGTCGCCTTCAACGCAGTCTGGCAGCAAAACTATGACCAGGGTGGACTCATCCTTGTCCTCAACGGTGCGGGAGGCACTCGGAAATGGGTCAAGACAGGCATCGAACTCACCCGTGGCCGACCTCACCTGAGTACCGTCACCAAAGACAACTGGGCGGACTGGAGTCTGCAGCCTGTCCCGTCAGGAGGTGGAGCGGCGACACTAGAGCTGGTCCGAGAGCCAGACAACAGCCTGTGGATTTATCTTGTGGAAGGCATCCAGAAATCCCCTCTCCGGGAAGTCACCTGGGTGTTCGAGGAACCGGATGTTCAAGACCTCTGGGTTGGGCTCTATGCAGCACGGCCTTCGAAAGAGGGGGAGGACCTGGTGGTGAACTTTGGCCATCTGATACTCGACACGTCAGATTAATGGATGTCTTGTGTGCAAATGTATTTTATGCATAATGTCCATGGTGGCCATGTCATCTAGATCTTGTCCTGAGTCGATTGGCAGTCCCTATAATGTTGATACTTCGGATGATGGATTCAGGCATCCTACCTGAAAAGAATGGTACAATGCAATCTCAGTCCCAGACCGTAAGAATACGTACTGCTGAAGTTGCAAGCTTGTAGTAGCAGTCCTCGATGTGTGCTGGATAAGTAGTATTCGAGTGTCACCGAGAATGATTGCCAATCATAACTGAGATCCGGCTATCTGCCAGCTCCATTACCGTCACTGGTTCGATCCCCAGAAGCACCGACCACCACCATCATGGATGACTGAATGCATAGATAGGTAATACGCCAGCTGTTATTGGGGCATGGATTTCTGCAAACCAGATCACATGAAATAACACCAGCATAGGGCGTCACTCATGGCCAGCATATTCACATTTTCTCGAGAACCGAGCTCATGGCCTATCTGCCGGGTTGGAGATGAGGGATTAAAATCCAAAGAGGGGGTGGAAGAGGGGAGCAGGGTAACTAATAGTATCTGGTCTATATGCAAGAACTGCAGCCCATATGAACCGGTCCGACTCGAAGCGAACAGAAAAGAAAAAGAAGTCGCAATTGAAGAATCTTGACCAACCGCAAGAAAACTCCGTGTGCAACCTATACGAGGAAGAAAACAACGCTAAGCTTTACCACAGCGGTGTCGTACAGTGGGCAGTGTACCCATTCCGGAGGGTTGCGAACCGGACTTGAAGCCCAATACAATATCTTTACCCGTTTGAGTAAGTGGGTGGATCGTTAAAGTTCGGCTCGAGTCTTCCGTGAACACGACCGACCAGAAAAATATCGCATTAATTTCCTGCGGCTTTCGCGCCTTCTTGTCAATATTCATTGTGGAGTTTCGCACCCCTCGAAAGTGTCGAATCTCCTATCCAGGATGGTCTTACCCAGATGATCCGGTGATTGTTATTACTCACACGGGATGATCGTTGCTCGAGGGGTAAGAGTAAGACTGTAGGCAGCGGAGACTATGCATCACCCCGTGACCGACGGATGATGACCAGGAGCGGTTGTTCCCGAGTCATCCAGCATCGGCTGTGCCATTTCCCCCAATCATGCGATGGGGCCGGGATTCCTCAAAAACGATTACGCAGAGTCTTTGCTGAGCAATCAGATAATTCCGGGATCCCTGATTTCTTTCGTTGGCGTGATTACAATTACTCTGTGTCTCCATAAGACATTCAAAGTGTGGGTGAGAAATGTGAGAGAATGGAGTAGTATTATTACGCTGTGCAAGAGTATACTAGCATTACTACTACTACAGTAGTAGTAGTACGGTGTTGGATCAGTCAGGTTCGGCCTGCAAGGGGGAAGCGTGGATGATGCGCGCCTTCATTCTTCTTACGAGCAGAATGTCAGGCGGTCTGAAAGGAACAGTATAAAAAGGGCAGCAGTATATATGCTTATGCTGCACATACTCTTTGTTCTCTTGTTTTATTATATCTTCTTCAACACAAGAACTACTACATTGTAATAAAAGCCGAATAATATAAAATCCATCTTATTGTTTGTACCAGGCTTCCCTTTTTCCGGGTCCGACCGCCGGACCAGGTGATCTTATCATATCTGATGTTCAGTTGCCCGCCTGCGTAGGATTCAGAATCCCGGTCGCCTTGCCACACTATCCTTCCCCCCCCCACCAACACCACCACGCTTTTTCCCTAGTGAACTCCTGCAGTCGAAGCCTTCTTTGCAGCAAGGCCCAGGGGTACATGCTCACTCGATCCTCCTCATTTCCCGCTTTCTATCCGTCTACAAACGAAACTCCCGCCCCTTCCCCGTCAATGGGTGCCCGTGGCCGAGGCACAAGCTTTGCAACCATCCAGCCCATCCGAAAGTCCCCTCGGTCTCATTCGACCAACGACTGGCGTGGGACAAAACAGAACATTGACAGCTCCGTTCGGACTATCTGGTGCAGCAATTCAGCGGGTGCCACACTACCCTTCTGGGCCACGGGCGTTTAGCCCATAGGCTAGGTCCTGGGCCTCCCACTTGGACTTGCATAAGTGCGGCCTGTCGATCGTGTCCAGTGGTGTGAATCATATCGGGGAGCCTGATTTGGGCTTGCAGACTCATAGCTGAGCCCCTTGGCCTCCGTCTTCCGGGCTGTACGCCAGATCTGGCGATCCACGCGTGCTGCGCATTCCGCTGCTTGATTTGGTGACCTAACTGATGCATGTGGTACCCAAACCTGGCTTCAGGGTGCTCCATCTTGCTAGTGTCTTTTGCTTTTTTCTTACCCTGCTTATTCTTTAGACTTTGATACCCCCTCTTCGTTGGCTAGTGCATTGCTTTTTCGTTTGGTGGATCTGGCTGGTACAGGTCGCAGATACCCTTTTACGTCCGCTTAGCCTTGCAATCGTCAGCCTGCTCCGTCCTTTTCATGCCTGCTACTTCGACATTGAAACTATCGGACTCAAACTGTTGCTTCATCTGCTGCCTTCACCACGACGAAGTATTTGACGACCTATCGCAATAAATGGACCCTGGTCATCTTATAGCTACCCAGCGATACCATCCATCAACGATTACGGCTCAGCCGCGATGCCCCTTCTTGACCACCGCTCAACAGTCTCATATGGTACCCTCGATCAAATGGATCAAGACAACAGGGAGGCGGAGGAGCGCCTCCTTCAGGCGGAATACGACCCTGAAGGGCATGATAGTGAAGTAGAATCCTCGGTGGATTCGGTTCAGGAGGGTGTTCGGAAGATTGAAGCGATCAATCTGACATGGACAACACGGTCGTTGATTATAGCATATGTCAGGTAAGCCTCATAAATCATTAGAATTTGTGTCCGCTCTCAATATCTTTCGCGGTTGCTAATGGTGTTGAAGCATCTTCCTCATGGCTTTCTGTACCTCGCTCGAAAGCCAAACCGTGATGTCCCTTTCGGCTTATGCCACCAGTGCTTTCAGCAAGCACTCCCTTATCTCTACGGTTCTTGTTGTTCAAAATGTGGTGAACGGTGAGCATACATCTCCCTTGGGGTTATTCTTATTCTCTGCTGATCCTCGTAGCTGTTATCAAGCCTCCTATGGCTAAGGTTGCCGACGTCTTCGGTCGGTTCGAAGCGTTCTGTGTCAGCATTCTCATATACGTTCTCGGATACATCCAAATGGCTGCGTCGACCAACGTTCAGACTTATGCCTCTGCGCAGATTTTCTACTCTGCCGGATCTACCGGCTTGCAAATACTTCAACAGGTGTTCATTGCTGACAGCAGCAGCCTATTGAACCGTGCGCTCCTGGCGCTTCTACCAGAGCTTCCATTCTTGGTCACGGTCTGGATTGGCCCGACTATTGCAAATGCAGTGCTTCAGCATACATCCTGGCGATGGGGTTATGGAATGTGGTCAATCCTCCTACCTGCCTCGTTTCTTCCGTTGGCACTTTCGCTATTGTTCAATCAACGCAAGGCTCGAAGACTGAACCTGATCAAGCCTAGACACCCTCATCGACGAGGTCTCCTTTCAATTATCCGCCACACTTGGTACGATCTTGACATGTTCGGTCTGATCTTGCTCTCGACAGCAGTGACTTTGATTTTGGTCCCTCTTACGCTTGCCTCCAACGCCAAGAATGGATGGAAGAATGGCAGCATCATCGCGATGATTGTGATTGGCATTCTCTGCCTTTTTGCGCTTCCCGCCTGGGAAACATCAAAGAAACTGGCCCCCAAGCCTCTGTTGTCCCTGCATCTACTCAAAGACCGAACAGCGCTCGCAGGGTGTACTCTGGCATTCTTCTATTTCAGTAAGACTCCACTTTCCCACAGATCCAGGTCCTCTGCTAATTCGTCTTAGTGGCGTTCTATTTCTCGGTTCAGCCTTACCTCTACTCTTACCTGCAGGTTGTTCAGGGCTATGATGTTGCCACAGCTGGCCGTGTGACCCAAACTTTTGCATTCACGTCGACTATTGCCGCCTTCATCGTGTCATTGCTCATTAAATATACACGCCGGTATCGGATCTATGTCACCTGCGGTTGCGTTATCTACATTGGTGGAATTCTGTTGATGTTGCTCTACCGTAAGGAAGGAAGCTCACCGGCGCAGATCTTGGGGACGCAGATCATTGTTGGCATGGGCGGCGGGCTCCTCAATGTTCCAGTGCAGTTGGGCGTTCAGGCCTCTGCTAGCCACCAAGAAGTTGCTGCAGCGACGGCAATGTTTTTGACTTCCATGGAGATGGGTGGGGCCGTTGGAGCGGCCATTTCAGGAGCCGTTTGGACACATCATATTCCGAGAAAGCTGCAACTCTACCTCCCTGACGAGTTCAAATCCGATGCAGGTGAAATCTTTGGGAAGTTGACCAAGGCATTGTCTTACCCGATGGGATCCCCCGTCCGGGTAGCGATTAATCGCGCATACCAGGAGACCATGAACAAGCTCCTGGTGTTGGCGTTCGTTGTCACGATCCCGCTGATCCCGCTCAGTCTATTGATGACGAATTACAAACTGGATAAGGTATGTGCTTGTGAAGATGGCGTTGATGTTGAACTAATTGATTAATGATGGAGTAGATGAGCGAGTCATCCGACCACGAGCCGATCCCAGTTGAAGATGAGGCTGAGCCTGAGGGGCGTGCGAAACGAACCTGACAGACCGCATTGGCGTTCATGTACCCTTCGCTTGAATCTGCCACATTGTACAAACACATACAGGGAGAGCATCCCGGTTAGATTGCAAGGGCACTCTGTTTTTATCTCGCCTGCTGTCAACCGTCGCAAACCCGCATGGGATAGAGAAAGGCGGTGTGGATAACCCCATGACTTGGGATTCTTCAAAAATGGACTGTGTACAATCCAAACTATATACTCTGATGATTGATTGGTTGCCATTTCTTTTCATGCTTTTGGATTGAGGCCGACAGTGCCGTTTGTGCGAGCATTCACTTGGCGTTCTGGATTCTCCTTGATGGCTTGCGCCATGAAACTCAAGCTGCAACGGCGAGAACGGCCGGCAGCGGATGATCCTGCGGGATGATATTATAGATGTTACGACTAGACTAGATGATTTATGGGTCACGTTATATATATATAGCAAGCATTGGTACTTTTTGATTGGAAATTTACTTGTGCGCCTTGATTTGCGTAGATTCTAATTGATTGCTGTAGTGGTGCGACGATAATAATGCTGAGGATTGGACGGAGGGGGGAATGAAGAAGGGAAAGCAGATTGATATGTACCGATCCCCAGGGTGGAATCTGGGCCCCGTCATGAAACTTAGCGCGGGGGCGTTTTATTGGGGTCGGTCTGGGCGTTTGC